ATTTAAGGTTAATACAAACAAATAAATTAATATTGTTTTAGTTAATTCAATAATATATTATAAAGAAAAGCTGAGATTTTTAAAATTTAAAATACTTTTTGACATATTTAATATTTTTAAATTGATATTACATAAAATTAATACAAAATATTAAATTAATATTATTTTGGTGAATAAAATATTATATTAACTAATTAAAATGAGATTTTTAAAATTAAAAATATATTTTGAGAGGTAATTTGATATGTTTAAAAATCTTAATGTAAAATTAACAAAAATTTTAAAAATTAAATAACACTAAAAATATAAATATTTTAATGATAAGATATTCAATGAATATCCAACCAATGGAGATAGTATTTTGTGGTGAGTCTCTCAATTTAAAATATATTAATAATATGAATATTATATTGTTGAGATATCTTATGGTAGCAGAAGCAAGTGCCATATGCAATCTGAAACAACATGTGGAACATATTTTACGTGACTCTCACTTACCAAGTTCGTTTTTCTTTGCTTTTTCTTTTGTCTATTCCTTAGGAAATCTACAATTCAATACCAAATCTTATGCCAAATCTATTTTTTGATGTAGAAAATGAGTTTACACCATTTTGGTGTTGAAATTTTTTATTTATAAAAAAAGTTTTTTAAATTTTAATCAACTTTAAAATTAATGAAAAATATATACAAATTGTGATATTAAACCCAAACTCTAATATGTTTGATAATAATTAAACAAAAGTTTAATATATTTTGTTATTTTATATGTTACAATATATTTATTTTATATAATAAATGTTAAATTTAAATTATTTCATAAATTTTTAAATTTAAAAAATAAATGGAATTGATTAGTAAATATTAAAGAATTGAAAAAGGAAATCTACTAAGAATATTCTATTTTAGTGTAAAAAAAAAGGAAATCTAATACATTAGAACAAAATCTAATACCATTTTAGTGTTACACGATTTTGATGTAAAAAATAGTATAAACCATTGGAGATGCTCTTAATAAATCATGATTCATCTTCCCATCTACCTTTTTTTGTAGTTGTTATTGTTGTTACTTTTAGCTTTTTTTTAAAGGATTTATATTTTAGATTCATGATCTAGTGTTGGTAACTAGATTTTGTTCTTTTTATTTTTGAACCATGTAAATTATTAAACATCTATTTTATTTATATATTAGATTTTAATATATGTGTAAACACCAAAACATCATTTTTCATAGAACAGAAAAAATACTAAACAATAATATATGGAGCAGTCGAAGGAAGAAGCCTAGAAGGTCCTGTGAGATTCCATTAAAGTGTAAAAAATGAAAGGTAAAGCCAAATTAATAAATTATTAAAATGAAAAGCTCGAGCCGTGTTTCAGTGTTGTATTACATTATTTTTAACAAGTCGACTGAGTTGATAATTAATTATGATCGACAATGGCCTAACCCCAATTGGTTTTTCTTGGCAACTATTATAGCTACAGTATTTGAATTTTTGTGGAAATTCTTTAAATCTTAGATGTGTATTAGTTTTTCGTTATCAAAAGATTCTGTATTTAAACTGATTGTATTAATTAGTTCATAAAGTGTTAGCATTAGTTTCAATAGTGAATCTTGATACATAATTATCACCATTTAAATAGATCAAACACAAACACAAGTTTAAGATATTTATCTAGCACCATTTACAGTCTAATAATCATACAAATATGTCTTTTTTTTTGTCAACCTAGCATTAGTTTCAATTGTGACTCTTTAATTGGTAAATAATTATCACCATTAATTTCAAAAGATCACACACAAGTTTAAGTTATTTTTCTAGCACCATTTACAGTCTAAATAATCATATGAATATGCATTTTTGTCAACAATATGAATTAATTTAAACTAGGAATTGGAAAACCAAATTAGAAGGGCATAATTTAATCGTAAAAATCAATTAATTTAGTTCAATCAGAGAGAGCCAACAATCGGTTTAACGGAAAATTGAGAAAAATCATTGAATCTATCAAGAAGAGAACACTAGCACTCTTCGCCTTGGAGAATTGAGAAAGCTAGACACTCTTATACGTCATTTTTTTTCCAGAACAATCCATCTCGCAAACTTGGTAGTTGATATGATATGATAGTATGCTTGTAATGGAAATTATTTAAAATTAATATAATTTATTAAGAGTCCAGAGGGACTTGGTCCTAAACAACCAGAAAAAGACTAAAACGCAAGGCAATTGACCTTAGTCTTGAGAAAAAAAATGGACTTAGTCAATATTTTTAGCCAAAAAGATAAGATCCGTTTTATGAAAGAAATGGGAGCGTATTTATGAAGGAATTTGGACATACACCAAATTCAGAGATACGTGGAGAACAAAATTTGAAGAGGAAAATGGAAAAGTTTGTTAAAGGAGGCATGGCATTTCTTGAGGGGGAAACGAAGGTAAACGAGCACTTGTGAAACTGAAGTACTCGAGGTTGGTTTGATCATTTCTCTCTGCATTTTTTTCCTCCAAAAACATGAAGATATCCAAAACACAAACAACTCCAACACAAACATGATAATACCCAAAACACAAAACAACTCCGAAAGAGATTGTACGCGTGTTGTCCAGAAGTATCCAAAACATAAACAACGAGAACAATAATGAACTAGTATCAAATCATATCAAAAGGATAGTAGCCGTAGTGGATTTGTATCAAAAGGTTGTAGGAAACTTGTGCATGACCCATAATTTGTTATAACAATTTGAAAAACAATTTTATTTCAAAAAAAGAGGAGAACATTGAAGGAAACAAGAACATGAGTAACCCCTAAATTCAATAAGTTAGTCCATGACCACTTAATTGACACAAATTCGGGTTCCTAATAGGAATCAAGTTAATTCAAAATGTTTAAGTACTTTTTTCAGTTTCTTCTAGTGTGTGAACTAGAACCCAAATAACCAAGTTGCTCAATCAGCACATCAACATTTTCTTCATCTCCTTCAAAATCAAAATTTTGACCTTCATTTAACAAATCTTCCCAAAAACCTTCACCATAAATCTCGTTCTCCTGTTGATACCTTTGTTGTTGTTCTTCTTCATTTTCCTTTCCCACATTTAAGACCTCTTCCCTAGTGGAATGATCTCCAAGTCCTTGAATGTGCATAGCAAGTCTGTCCAATTCGGACATGTCTCCATATGTTTCTTGTTTCATATCAACAAATGCCGAGGAGGATCCAGCGTCGTTCCCATACCTTCCATAACCACCTTCACCATCATCATAATCTTCAACATTAACCACATTTCTTGTCCCTTGATCGATCGGTCGTTGT